TGAGGCATCTCTGATCAGGTCCTGGTTTGATATGAGATTTTTCTCTTTTAGTGTCATAATCTAAATGACAACATTTTCCCGTTTTTCTTACAGGCGCATAAGACGACCGTGTCTCACGATCAGCAGCATCACAGATCTGATGAGACGTGCCGTGATGCTACTGCTGATTTTCCAGAAGTGTTTCAAAAGACAAGTTAAAAATGTCGTGTGTCAATAAGTCCACCAGAATCAATTAAGAGTCCAAGAAAGACAATTCTTTCCTTCAGCAGCATCAAATTCTCAACGTTTGTCAAACTCAAGAGCTGTGACAAACACTGTACGTTTCTAACTTAACCAACAACCTTCATGCACACCCACGGTGAGGCCACCCCATCGCCCCGCAAGACCCGGAGCGGGAAACCCGCCACGGCCGCGACGCTTTGCAGTCACTCACGTTTATCGCTGACGGGTTCAGGACCAGTTTGCATCCAAACCATATTAGACACGTGGTGGTCACAGCAAACGTGGAGACAAATAGTATCTGAAAATTAGGAATCTGAAAAACAAGGCGGGAGGGGTTTTGCTTCTTTGAATTACTAAAGAAATGAAAGCGACATCACACGGAACTTCAGGTCGTTAACTCAAAGCGGTCAAGATTGTGACGGGTAAGAACCTGGTGGGACGGGAGCCTCTGCACTCGGGCCTCTCCCCACCCCTCTTGCAGGTCGGGGACAGGGCAGGGAGCCCCTCAGTCTGGGGGCGACCTCTGGGACCCCCTCGGCACCCCACCTGTGGGCCGCAGAGGACTGGCCAAGGCTGGACTCACCGCGTTGACATTTTTCCTGGAGACAGCAAAGCTCACCAGCGCTGAGGGGACGCACTGCAAAGAAACCAGAGCGGTGAGCCACGAGTCCCCCACATCCCTGCAGGCCACGACCGCGACTTTAATAAAATGTAATGTTCAGGTTTCCGGAATGATTTGAATCACTTTGTCAAAACATGAGCTGCCAGTCCACCTGACGCAGGGGCTTTGCTTGACGTAGAACAGCCCCCAGATGCTTCAAAATAATTTATTCTGAGAAAAGTTTTTATTTTTCTGATGAGCTAAAAGACATTTGATAATGAACACGATTCTAGTCGGACACGGTTCGAAGTCTAGAATGTAACTACGAAAGTACAAGGCCAGGGATGGTCTCAGCTGAAGAATTACCCAAAAAGGAAAAAGAATCTACTTAGGGCATTCTTGTCCCGCTGCGACCCCGAGGCCAGGAGTCAGGGCCAGGGAGCAGGGCGGTGGCCGAGGTGGGCCCAGGTGGGCCCCAGACCCTGAGGCCGGGCAGCGGGGAGCCGTCTGAGGGGCGAGCACAGCAGTGTCAGGTGGGAAGCAGGGGACCCACAGCGGCCTGAGCGGGTGTCAGCTAGGTGGGGACGGACTCAGCATGGAACCCACCCAGGGGCCTTGAGGGCCGAGGGCTGGGAAGGAGGGGGGTGGGGGTGAGCACGGACAGAGGCAGAGGCTGGGAGGGCTGTCCCAGGGGACGACGAAAAGCCTTGAGGTTCCCGAGAGCGCAGCAGGGAGAAGCATCACGTTTCCTCGAGGAGTTTTGTTCTGAGGGAGCAGAGACCCGGAGACCCCGGACACAGGGTGGGGCACGGGGTTAAGGAGAGCATGTGTCCGCTTTGGTTTTGAGACATTTGGGGACACAGTCACCAACCCTGTCCTTGTGGGTGGACAGGCAGAAGCAGGAGCCCAGGGCATTGTGCTTGCACTGTCATTGGAAGCAGGGCTCCCCGATGACACACACGAGACCCCAGGAAATAGGGTGCTCTGTGCTCGAGCTGGCTGGGCCCCTGGGAGGCGGGGGCAGGGGTGCCGGGGGGCAAAGGTCAGTGGCTGTCTCTGCTTCCCTCCCAAGAGGACCAGTGGGCACCCCCCATGGGCCCCACAGAGCTTCAGGAGGAGGTGGGGTGCAGCCCCAAAACCCCAGGGCAGGTTCCGGCCAGCTGGAGTGGGACACAGCCACGTGCCGGAATCAGAGTGCTGTTGCTTGCACAGGCACCTGCAGAGTAAGATTCAGACCCGCTCCATCAATAATTCTCAAAAGTGGTAAATCCTATTTGAAACCAAAGTCACACAGAGATTTTGAATGAGGAACAAGTGACAGAAACCTGCAAATCTCAGGGCAAAGAAATTCAAGGGCACGACAGTGAGCTTGGGCACTGCCGGCCACAGTCGGGGAACGTTGCTTACAGAACCTGCCGCGCAGCGCAAGTAATCCATTTCGGAGGGGAACACGTTCCCCAGGTAGAGTGAAAACCCCGAGGTCACAAGAAGGCAGCTCTGCAAAAGAGAAATATAAATTCAGGTTAAGATGTGGCCCCGTCTCAGACGCCTGAGGAAAGAACACTGACCCTATGACCGCAGTTCGGCAGCTCTGAGCCCAAGCACCTGACCAGCACCAGCTGTCCCTGGCCCTGGATCCTGCCCAGCCTGGGTGCCTCCCCACAGGGCAGACACAGCCCAGAAATGGACGGGCCTCCTCCAGAGTCAGAGCATGGACTCCACCCTGAGATTTGGGGCAGGAGGGGGTCAACACTTAAAGCAAGAAACGGAGCCTCTCCCCAGAAGACACCCAACACGTGCGATTCCAGGGGCTTCAGGACCCACCCCCAGGTCCAGGCAGCAGCCTGGGAAACGACGCCCGTCCCACTGCTGCAGAAACTGATCCAAGCTGACATCTGGGAAAGGACGCCAAGAGTCAGTGGCTACGGGCACAAGGGCATTGCACGGGCAAGGCCCTGGCAGGAGGCAGGGTTGGCTCTTGTCACACTCAGGCCAAAATGACACCAATCATCTAGGCGTCCCCATATCTGTGTACACGGGAAACATCCCAGGGCCCCAGGGAAGACCCCAGATGCTTGGTGCTGCCCCGCCTGCTCCAGCCCTGTGGCCCCTTTGCAGGTGATGCCTCCTCGAACTACCCAAGAGTCAAGGGTCCTGGAGGCCACCCTGGCCCAGTGCATAGCCCTGTGGGCTTAGCGTGGCCCCGGGACTGTCCCTCCCTGGGGAGACTCAGCCACAGCCTAGAGGCCAACTCAGGGCCAGTGCCAGATACTCAGGAATTGAGAAAAATAATTCAGAGAATACGTAAAACAAACAAGTCGGCACCCAGGGCTGCGCGGCAGCAGGATGGGTCTGAGCGCCATTCCTCCCACCTCACCCTGGAAGGGCACCCAGGCCAGGGGACCCTCAGGGACCAGGTCGGGCTACTCACCCCCATCAACACGGAGAAGACCCCCGCCTTGTCACTGAGGCACGGGGGCACCCTCTTGGACAGCTGAAGGTCGCTAGGCTCCGTGTCCGCCGTGTAGCCCACGGGGTGCGGCCGTCCCCGATCCAGCGTGGGCATCCGGTCATAGGCCAGCTCCTCCCTGAACGGCTCCTCCCGAGTCATGGCCCTGGGGGACAGCCAGCCAGAGAGGAGCTTTCAGCCAGTGTCACCAGTTGTTTATGGAATTATCATCGCCTTTGACCACTCTGAAAAAACTTCAATTAAAATAAGTTGTTTTCAAGAAATACTTTCTTAACAAAGAAATACTGCGCACACTGGAATGCTGCAAATTTGAAGGAGAAAATAGGCATTTAATTCTAAAAGTGAATAAAGTCACTTTCCTCATAAAACAAACCTCAATGTTCTGGATTCAGGGCGATTTTAGGCTTTAAATTTAGCCTCCCTGACCCTGGTCCTGCGCATACAATGCCTTTTGACTTTCACTAGCAACTCCCTCTGCAACCCCAAGACGCTGTGGACTCAGCTGCTTCAGGTGGAAACTGAAGCAGAGATTGCAAATTCGCCTGCACCGCTTACCTCTCCTGTCGTTCCGGCCTTGGGAGCGCTGGTCTCTGGGTGAGGGGCTTCCAGTGAGAACTATTCACAAATGGAACAAAAGCTCAGCAAAACTGCGCCTAAGCCAGGGGAAGCAGAACCGCTTCCTGAATTTCAATGAGGAGATGAATTGAGTGGATCCTAGAAACGTTCCACGTTGGTTGTTTTTCGAGTTGGTTGTGTAACCACTGACCCAGGGCAGTCTTAGCCCAACTAGGAAAGGAAGGGGCTTCCCTGGTTCCATTCGCCACAGGTCTCGGGCGCTAAGGTGGGTGTCTCAGAAGAAAGAAGTGCACCTAGGAATAGAATTCCACCAAGTGCACAATCCTAGCGGGCCCTATTTCTGAAACAAGCAACTTTCGGTTCAAAGGCCTTGTACATCTTTTCAAGCAGCGTTTTTCTATCCCCCCTGCCCACACGATGGAAGGTTCCTTCACAAGGTCACATAAACATTCACGCACTCACTTGGCCGGTGTGGCCCTTGGCCTGCTCAGGATTCTGCCCTGACGGTTCCTGTGGGCAGCCCCAGTGGCTGGCAGGCACGGTCCCACTGCACCCTTTATTTCTGCTCAGCAAGCAGAGAAAAAGCACACAAATGTTTCACCCAGAGACACTGGCACCCTGACAGTTACAGCAACAGATTCTTTGTGCACATTGTAAAAAGGCTGAAACCAAAGTGTTCTGAAAAATCAGCTCCTTAAACCATGAACCCACATTAAACGTGGGCAGAGTCCTCAGGTTTCAAATCATGGGATATTCCATTGTC